CTTTTAGTGTGGACAGTATGTGCATTAAATTATCTTTAGCAAGATAGTTTTTCTCTATTGGAAACAATTGTATCATAAGACCAAAAAAAAAAAAAAAAAAAAAAAAAACCAGTATCTAAATACCACTGTGGGCCATAATACATATGAATGAGAGAAAATGTGATCTTGGGATCTAAAGTCTTACAGAGGAAAACGGTCTCCTCAGCCTTAGGCTGACACTAGCCAGTGTATCACGATGGCTGGCTCTGCACCTTTTCAGTCTCATCCTAGTTGTGACCTGTCACTTTCTGAACCTTTACAAGGATGGGGGTTGTAGCAATTAAGAAAATAAAATGCTGACATCTTGCACAGCTCACCAGAAATCTAGTTACAGGTTACTGCCACAGGTTGTTTACGAGCATTCCTTAATCCTAAATCCAAAATACAAAATTTTTTGAGCATTCATGCTGTGGATTGATGTCCCCCCCAAACTTAGTCTCCACTACAACAGTGTAAAGAGGGTGGGAAATCCTATTATGGTAATTGAAAGGTGGGGCCTTGAAGAGGTGATTGGATTGTAGGACCGTGCAGTAGTGAATGGACTAATAATGGTGTCACGGTGTGGCTCTGAGAGCTTTAAAAGGAGAACTTGTGAGAGTCTCTCTCTGCTCCCATTTCAAAATGTGATACCCTGTGTCACTGAAGCCACCACCAAGGAAAACCCTCACCAGATGTGTTCCCTGGACTTTGGACTTCCCAGGCTCTGAAACTATAAGCAGTAAATTTCATTTCCTTACAAAGTATCCAGGTATTTTGTTATAAGCAACAGAAATGGACCAATACAGCCAACATGATGCTCAAAGGAAATAAACATCAGAGCATTTTGGATTTCAGATTTTGAATTTCTGAATTAGGCATGCCCAACTGGTAAATATAATGCACATATTCCAAAATCCAAAATCCGAAACACTTCTGGTCCCAAGCATGTCAGATAAGGGATACTCAACCTGCAATTGTAAGTATGGCTTTCTAACCATGTCCACAGAATCAATGTAGACAGAATAAAATACATGAGGATTTATGATGAGGATACAAAGGGCAGCAGGACTTCTGCATTTTCGAGATATAAGGAGGTACGGTTGACTGGAGGTATGATAATTAAGTATGGAGAATAAGAAACAATATTATGTCACCTTTAGCTACTAACGACAAATGACCGTAAAGATAAGAAGACGGAAGAACAAACAGCAGGTATTGGGGTACAGGACGAGAAAGAGAGCCCAGCTTTTTTTTTGTTCGTTCATTCATCAATTAACCCAACATACATCCAACAGACACTTCTGAAATATCAAGCACTTCACTGACAACTGGATAGCACAGGATGTGGCAATGTTTTTGTTTGTTTTTCTTGAAATATGCACCTCTCCCACCCCAAGCAAAGACTTTGTAGGTATATTTTTATGCTTCAAAACAGAAAAATAGTGAACATTTTTACATGAAAAATGTGGTCAAGGATTTAATGATGATTGCATGTGTGTTATAACAACAGTTAAATTTATTGGGCATTTACTGTATGTTTTGTAGGCTCAGGAAGAAACTTATGCTTCTTAGAAAGAGCTACAATGTACACTGCTTATTTTGACACACCATTCTAGAATGGTATATATCTGCTCAATCTTCAATAAGGCACCTTATAATTAAATTTATGTGTTCCAAAGAATTATAGTCTTGACAGTTTAATAAAGAGGACATCTTATAGTGAATATAGTTTCTATTTTAGTGATGCATTGCTTGTTAGGTATATTTTTGTTTTACCTGGTTTTATGCTCCAAGTATGATGTATTTATCCTATATTCCCAAATTTTCTGTCACGATCTGTCAGGGGTCTGAAATTTTACTTTACTTGCACAATGACAAGTTAACCTGTTACAGTTTTATAGAGGCTGGCAGAAGACACAAGACTCCTGTGCCAGAGACAAAGGACACTTTACTATATACGGCAGTAGCACTTTTCCTTAGTTTTTTACCTAATGTCTTTTTTCTGTTCCAGGGTCTCATCCAGGAACAGATGGCTCCTTTAGACTGCAAAGGTTTAATCGTCATGTCTCCTTAGGCTCCTTTTAGATTGCAAAGGTTTATTTGTTAAATGTTTTCAATCTATCTCTATTTTACTTCCATCTTAAAGAATTGTGTGTGTGCATATGTTTTTATTCAAAAATGTTAATTTTCTTTTTCAAAGAAAAGAAAAATATGGTCAAGCAGAAGTTTAGCTCATTTTTATCAGAATCACTCAGGAAATTTAAAAAACTGATACACATCTTGCAGATGCACTCCAAAAAAACTGCTGTGCCTACTCAGAAGTCAGGCTTCCTGTGGTAACCTTGATCAAAGGAAAGACCAGGCCCAAAGACTGTAAGAAAAGAAAAGGAAATTGAATGAAGATGCCTGCCTCTGAGTCCTGCAGGAAGGCAGTACCCCTTGGAAACCGTTTCATACAGGCACGTTCAATAATGTCAGATTGTGAACCCGAGGGATCTCAGTGGCTGGAGGTGGATGTGAAAGCCAGACTCTACTCTGAGAAATGCCAAAATGAACAGGAAAAGACG